CCAGGGAGTTGATCAATCTTGGCAATCATCTTGCGATCCGCCACCCATTTATCTTTCAACGTCTTGGCTTTATCATAGTCCATGTCATGCACTTTCGCAATCCTGTCTAACCGGTTGATGCCGGGATCCCCACGGGCCAAACGTTTTTTCAAATGGGTGCCAGGGTCCATATACTGATAGCCAGGCCAATGAAATTCAATGCCCGTCTTGTTGAGGAGGTTTTGCACATCAAATAACTTGCCCCCGCGTTGCGATCGTCGTCGCCTCGGTCGGGCACGGGGCGCAGCACGGCGTCTCCGGGTCCGTCCCATCACGGGGTTTTCCACGTTTTCCAATCCAAGGCTTTCTTGGCCAGACCTGCGGCTTTCTTTTTGGCCACAGCAGCGGCTTTCTTTCTAAGATGTTTCTTGATAGCTGGAGAGAGCGTCGAAGAGGTGGAGGTCGACGTGGATGAACCAGGCAACCCTTCGGCCAAGTCGGCACTGCTCACTTGAGGTGTAAACTTGAGTTTCTTTTTGGCGCTAGGGGTGATGTTCGGTTTGGGCGGGACCGGTGGTTTTTGGGGTCCACTCGGCGTGGAGCCTTGTTTTATACCCCGGGTGGCTTTAACCAACTGCGTGAACCACGCTTGCATAGGCCCCGCCTCAAAATCATCCTCCTCGCCGGGCGTGGTGGCCCCTGCGGCGCGCACACCCCCTTGCCGGCGCTCCAAAGGGTTGACGCACTTTTTTGGTCCAATGGCGTAATTGACGGCTCACAGCTTTGAGTTGCGGTCGTTTCCAGGCATCCGGGACCTCGCTGGTCAGGAGCACATGTTCTTTGGCCGCCAAATCCGCGGCTTTACTCAAGCGAGTATCTTCCACCAATTCTTGTTTGTACTTCTCTTTTAATTGTAAAAAAGCAGGGGCGTTGTCCACCGTGGTGCTCACCATCTCGGGTTCCATAATGCAACTGACGTGTCTCCTTTAGCGCATGCAACGTTTATAACATCGGTAGAGTTCGGGCCAAAGGGCACCGCCTGTTTGAGCCATCATGATAGCGCGTCGTTGTTTCACCGAATGCGCGGGTTTGGCCATCGCGCGTAGACTCTCGGCGTGGGGTTTGAGCAACGTGATGGTGTGTCGGGAACGGGGGACGGTGCCACGGAGCGTGTTCATCACCAATTCACTGATGGCAGTGATCTGATCCGCATTCGCCATCCGCAACAATTCTTGTCGTTTATGCTGATTGGCTTCTTGTAAGACACTTTTCAAGAACGGGGCTTGACGTTCCATGCGCCACGCCATGCTGAAGGTTCAGGAATTGCCACGACCCCGCTCTATTTATGGTAAATTGGGCCCCACATGAACGACACAGTTCCCCATGATAATGCCGTTGCATATGACGTCGACATTGCTGACACAACGCGGCCTCGATCTCCTCCGTCCACTCTAACGTCAACGTCATGGCCAGACGGGGGGGTCTAGTCCGGTCGACGAAGACGGACCCTGGGCTTGTATTTCCTGAGCCACAAAGGCGAGAGAGCCATTGCCAACAGCGGTAACTTAGCGCCGCGTTGCAGACCACGTCGACGGCGTCGCTTTCGGGGGACATAACGGTGTCGGCGTCCATTGGGTCCACGGACCATCCTCAATTGGAGTCTTGTTCCCCACCAGGCGTTTCTTTTATAGCCTTCTCAGCATTTCAAACCCGCCCCAACCCGTTCGACCTAACATCCGCTGAACCCGTCGTTGATTAGCCGCCATTTGCTTTGCACTAATCTTGCCCACTTTTTTTTTTTC